GAAAATCGGTCCAGGGGGGGTGTTATCTTGTGTCATTTACGGTAGTAAACCGCGACCACGACTGTACATCCAATCAGTCAAAGAAAGACTAGGTACGTACCGTGGGTTGTATGATGTAAGATGTTACACCCCCTGGACCGATTTTCGAAGCTCGAACTACGACTGTACATCCAATCCGTCAAGGAAAGGCTAGGTATGTACCGTATGTTGCATGATGTAGGATACCACACCCCTCTGGACCGATTTTCGAAGCTCGAAGCACGACTGCACATCCAATCAGTCAAAGAAAGGCTATGTACCGTAGGTTGCGTGATGCAAGATATCATACCCCCTGGACCGATTGGCGAAGTTCGATTACTCCACAGCACGAAAAAGTAGCGGTGCAAATGCCGGCATCGGAACCGTCTTGTCGAGATCTTTCCGAAAACGTATGCTTCAATTTCGGCATCCTCTTCGTCGTGGAGAAATCCAGCTTTGAAAATCGGTCCAGCGGGTGTGACATCTCATGCAACCTACGGTACCCGTTCGAGATAATACCACAGCAGTACAGTTGTTGAGTTGCAGTTGAAGGGAACTGGTAAAAAGTCTTCACCGTGGAGTGGGGGGGACATGCTGGGCTCGTGTTGAGTGGTCTAAAATAGCGCTACTTCGTTTTGTAGAGTCCGCGCGGAAAGAAAGTAATCGGGAGGGGAGTATAGATAATCGACACGGCGTCTATGAGCACCAACACGCCAGACTGCCAGGTGTACTATTCGACACAGAGAGGTGTCGTCTCAAACCGAATGTGCCTTGTTATTGTGAGGAGGGGGGGGGAGTCGTCCAGCACACAGCAGTGGTCTTTGCGGTTCTCTATTTAGTGACTCTTCCCATCTACTGATTTTTTCGCCCTCTGAGGGTTGATTAAACCTAAACCGGCGGGGGGAGGGTACGTACTCTTATGTTTCGCATGCCTTAGCGGTTTAGAACCATTGACCACGCGTCCTCGAGAGGACGGAGCATTGTTTCCGCAGGACCGATCACCAATGGCCAAGCGTTCCTTCCTGGTTTGCCAAAAGGTTGCTCAAGAATGTCGTCCCTCGTTTGTCTATCCAAACGATATCCCTTCTCGCCACTTCAACCCACTTCAACCCACTTCCGATGTCCGAGTACAGCTACATACCGTGTTCTATTTAGCTTTTCCATACCGCAGACATGTCCCGGCACCTTCCTTCTACTTTTCCCTTACCAGTCATGTGTACTGGGGCAGAGGA